TTTCAGAACATTAAAGCAATATTAAGAAAGGATGGTAGGAACTGTGAGGTCTCCAATAAAGAACGCCAATCTAAACAATTAGACTATGGAAAATGGCAATGCCAAAATGAAATTACAACACCCAACCATCATTACTCAAGTATAAATTCTTCTCTATCACGAACTCTCCCAACGGTAGCTAAGTTAGTAAAAAACTGTATGGTCTCTTACTATATGTGGATAATGAATTACCATTTCTGAATAATATCATTATCCCCGTTATTTGCTGCATTCCAATATCCCTTCTGGTTGCCTGAAACTGTGAACACTACACCAAACCCTACATACATTAACTTTTTCCCGATGCATTAAAAATATATAAAAATACTACAAATATCTTTGTAAAATCTAATTAACGAACAGCAAGAGAATAATGACGATGACCAGTAACAAAAGAGTAGTTGTAACAATATAGTACAAAAAAATGTTCTATGACAGTGGCCTTCTCATTTTGTCTGCAGTATTTTCAGACTGCAATGGGCTTTGGGGCTGAAACCAAGGAGATTGAGACCTGGATAAAGAGGGGCTACTGTATTGCTACCAACATTAACTAATGACAAGTTTCATCACCGTTATTGTATCCGCCTCTGTCCTACCAGCAGTCGTTTTAAAGGAACTGTCTGTTGGATTCTGTAGCAACTGCTCATTTGTTCATAAAAGATGAATATGAGCAATTCATGAATTCACAGAAGACTGCCCGCACATTTTCACCAACGTGTAAGACAAGAAAATACAATTCCTCTCTTGGTAGGTACAGAGTATCAGCACTTTCCTAGTATAATAAACAAACTGCAATGTCCACCGGGGGAAAATAACTGAATCTGAAAAAATAGTTTAAAATAACTGAAAAATAAGCAAAAAGAAGTCATCATCTGGAGCTGCAACAAAAGAGTTCCCAAACACCTTTTTTCTTTTTCTTTTCCTTCCTTCCTTCCTTCCTTCCTTCCTTCCTTCCTTCCTTCCTTTCCTTTCCTTTCCTTTCCTTTCCTTTCCTTCCTTTCTCAGCCATAGCTGGCAGTGTTCAGGGTTTACTCCTGGCTCTGTGCTCAGTGATCATTCCTGGCAGGCTCACAGGACCCTATGGGCTGCTGGGGATAGAACCCAGGTCAGCCACGTGCAAGGAAAATGATCCACCTTTTGTACTATCGTTTCACCCACCCTCCCCACCTCCCCAATAAATTCTTCTGTTACAATCTCTGTCCCTAAAGACAGAAGAGACTTCAGCAGCACTGGGAATGGTTCTTGATATTGGGAAACCTGCACCTCCACTGTTTTGTTTCTGGTGAGTGGGGTATCACTCTCAAACACCTGCAAGGTCAACATCACAGATGCTGCCTCTCTACTTCAGGCTGTGGTCCCCAAACCTAGACACACATTCCTCTTCAAACCTCTTATTTTACTTCTTCTCCCTGACTGCTACCTCAAAAGAGAAAACTTCCCATGTTTCCCAGCTGAGTTTCCCTCTAAGAGCACTTAGCCCTGTCTTTCTGCCGGACTCTTTTCCCCTTCAGTCTTAATATTTTTCCCCTGCTACCAGAGGAACCCAGGCAACAACGGCCACCTGCAGCTTTAAAAATCACATCTCCTTCCTCATCACAAAAGGTTAGATCTCTGATTCATGCCTTCTCTTGTTTGAAGTTACCATTATGTCTTTGTTGTTCAACAGGAATCTTATCTGAAGACACTTTGTATGCTAGATACTGGCACAGAAACCATGTAGAAATATAATTTTAAAATTATATTTCTTTAAATTATAAACTATCTCTGTTGCCCACCTTTCTTCTAAGAAAGGAAGAGACATTCATCTTGTTTTGTTTTCTGGGGCCACACCTGGCTATGCTCAGGGTCTGCTCCTGGCTCGGTGCTCAGGGATCACTCCTGGTAAGGCTCGGGAGACCATAACAGATGCCTGCGACTAAACCCGGGTTGGCTGGATGAAAGGCCAAGTATTTTACCTACTGTACTATCACTGCAACCAAGAAAGAGACATTCTAAGAGAGAAGATAAAGAAAACTTTCTATTACAATAAAAAAGTGCTATAATAACCAGTGAAGAACTTCTGAAGAGGAGCCTAAGAGAGAGCCAAGGAGACACCAGAAGGAACACCTCTAAGCGGGCCTTAACTCTGACAGCAGCTCTTTTCAGAGTCTCCCTTGTTCTCGACCCCCTTCCAAAGCACTCTGCCCAACAATACTCTTAAGGATCACTTAAGGCTCATTTCTCACAGGTGCCGGATAGGTGCCCAGTGATATATCAAGCCCAGCGGGATCGGATGGGTCATAAGTTCTCTGAGCCAGCTCTGACTTGCTTCTGCATTGGCCCGTCCACACGTGGGCACACAAGCTCTAGCCAATGAAGACTCCATGCGGCACATTCCAGACAGCCTGGAATTTCCTGCCGAGTATGCTCACGTCACTTCTCTTGACAATCCAGGGCCACCAAGTATGGCTTTTCAGTCACAACCCCTGCAGCTAATGTGGCAGTACTGACGATCCCCATCAAAGCACTTCCCATTTTAAGGAATTACAGGCAAATTAAAAAAAAATATATTTTGTTCATTTTCCACAGCATCATTATATGCCTTAAAAGTTAAGGGGAAAAATGGCATATGGGAAACACATTCCATTCTGTTCTTTAGAAAAGTCTACAGTGAAGGCATTTTCTCTAAGAAGCTTTCAGTTATTCATCAAAAAGCACTCTGTGCTGCTTCTTACTCTTAAAATATTGGACACTTTTCAACTTTAGAAAAATACCTACCTATATCTACAGCTGTAGGTCTTTCCCTCTTTCCTTTCTCCGCTACCCTCTCTTCCTCCTTCTCTGTTATCTCTATTAATGTCCAGACATTGGCATGATGGGATTTATTCATGTTGTTTCACTTAACCCTCTGATTGTAACAACAAAGCCAAGGTTGAAAACTTGCTCAAGAAAAGAACTAACTTTTTGCAAGTCTAAATTTGAACCCAAGACTAGTTTGGCTTCAAAATCCTTCATTCTCAAATAAGTAGCAATTGTCGAACTATCTTTTCTGATATGAGCCTTTAATATCTTAAGGAGGCAGATGATAACTTGTTCTTTTTTGCATTAACTCTAGTGTCCACTCCAGGAATTGACACGGAAGTAGAAATTCAAAAAAACTTTAATGATTACACAAAATACGCCTTGGGGAAAATGATGAGATGCTGATTATGAAGGTATGACTCCTAAAACAACAGCTATCCCGACAGCAAGCCCTGGAGGTTCTAACTTTGGGGATCACATAATTGATAATGTTCCTGCCTCAAGTTGTGAGGCAGAGAGTTTGGTGCCTAGTAGTGGTGCTTAGTGCATAGGTAAATGCTCTATGTGATTCCCTTGGTACCTCAATACTGCAATCTTTGGAGACCTGTAACCAGCTGAAAATGCCCCTGCTAATGACCTTTGTGGACAACACCCCCCAGGGTCCCCATAACTAACATGTGCAACCAGCACAATCAATATGCAACCCCCAGTCACTGCAGGAACAACAAAGGGAAGGGAGTGAAGAAATCTCTCCAAGTTCTGCTTTCTTTCCAGGTTTACTGACCTCTCTTGGCCTTCATTCATTATTATCTCTTACATGTGCTATTAATCTCTCACAATTGAGTCTCCTGAAATCAGCCAGTGAAGCGAGACTGTGTTACTCCTTTCTCTGGTATACAAGACTCTGAATGCACAAGCTGAGCTGGGTTCCTGTCCACAACAGCAAACTACTGTAGTCATTTCTCTTCTACCGACCCTCTATCTATCCTACTTCCTGAGCTCTGTGACCAGTTTTGCCCTGAGCAGTGAATACTCAGAAGTCCAGACTGCTGTGTGGATGACTTATATAAAGTAGTCTCAACTCTCCCAAGTCATTTCTTCAGTTGATTTGCTTAAACACTATCTATAGTTCTACATTATTATTCTCTGTATTAAGCATCTGTGATAGTGAGAATAACATGGGAACAATCTGAAGTTCTTCTCTCTCTCTCCAGTGAGATCAAACTCTATAAAAGCAGAAAGTCATCGATATGAGCAATGCCTGAAACAAGTGGCTACTCAAACACTTGAGGTTTTACTGAACCAAAACTGGAGGCAAAACCAACTTTGACTATTAGAATATTACTTTAAATTCTTCAGGTGGCATTAAGATAATGCAAAAAGCATGATTTGGGCTCTTTCATGACCCAAGAAATAGTCATGGAGCCTAGAAGCCCAAGAAAGACTCAGATATTCACGTAACAAATAACTCTGAAAGATATAATGCCTCATCCTAAGTGCTTTTTTCTTTTTCTTTTTTTTAAAAAGGTGCATTTTTAGTGGGAAGATGTCATACCATTGTCATACTCATAAATGAATTAAACATGGCATCAAGATAGATTTAGAACTATTAAATATGTAAGTTTCAAAATCACATTGTCTGTATCCATTTATTACATTGTTGGTTTTTTTAGGTCACACCTGACTGTGCTCAGAGCTTAGTCTTGGCTCTCTGCTCATGGATCACTCCTGAAGGTACTCAGGAAACCACATGTGGTACTGGGGATTGAACCCAGGGCAGTTGTCTGCAAGGAAATTGCCTTACCCACTGTACTATCTCTCCAGCTCTCAGGTATTATTTCTAAATAATTTTAAGAACTATGAATTTGCAACTACGGAATCCAGAAGGAAACCACCACTTCATACAGTAATGCAATATATCAAGACACTTTATAAATTGTATTTTCCCTTGTCTAATCTTGCTAAGGATCAGAAAATGCACACCATTTTCAGTAAAATTCAAATAATCACCAACATCTGATAGGTGTTAGTCCATTCAGCGAATTGCAAGGCTTAGCTTCTAAAGGAAACAGGAGACAACAGTGGGATACTGCATTCACCTTTGCTGCCACTGGCCTTCAGTTTAACCTAGCTTTACCTTTTACCCTGTAATAATGATTTTTAAATAGTTAAGCACTTACCATAATGTGATTGAAATGCCTGTGGTTTGACAACCTGATTACAGTCATTACACACCACCAAGTAGAAATCATCATGGGCTGGACAGAGACCAAATATTGGCATGTCTGCAACATAAGAAAAGAGCATTACTCACTCATATAAATCATTTTGGGTGGCAATACTTTCTTAAAAAGCTGCCTTGTTTGTAAAGCACACGGGGACAAATCTTACTCTGGTTTAAAAGAGACTGAAGTGGTACGCGAGAGAGCTCGATGAGCATGCTTTGCATTCAGAAGGCCCAGCGCTGATCTCTGGCATCATACTGTCCCCTGAGCACCGCCTTGTGTGCTCGATAACCAAAGTACAAACTAAAAAAGGAACTTAACTGTGACTGCTAGGTGAAAAATGAAATCAAATTTTACAAAAGTACTTCTACAAATGGTTAAAACAAAATGCACGCAAAAATATTAGTACGAGGTGAAAGAGACCAATCTGTTAAAATGCGAACAGTGAAAATATTCGCCAGGAAACAACTCTGCATTATCTCCACCAAGAGTTAAAGGGTAGAATCCGCAAACATGTAACATGCGTAGCAATTCACAAAGACACCATCTAATGGTTTTGTTTGTTTATGCATTCTACTCCAGCCATCTGGTTTCAGTTCTAAGGAACAGTTAAGAAAGGAAGCAGAGATTTCACTCAAAAGTAAAAAAATGCTGGCTTCATCTGCAAGTGATACAAAGAAAATTATCTTTGTTCTCTTTTTCCTCAGGTCACAAGAACCTTAGTCCTTTAACTGGACAGGAGTGGCCCTTGAGCATGGTGGGGCATGACCAAAATACAAACAAAACGTTTTTCTTTTAATATTTGGGCCATACCAGTGGTGCTATGGGCTTGCTCCTGACAGTGCTGGGGTACCGCATGTGGTGCTGAGGTCAAAACCTGGTTTGTCCATGTGCAGGTCAAGCACCTTACCCCCGTGTTATCTCTCTGGCTCTCCCCCTAAAATTTTTTAAACACAAATGTGAAACTAACTTATCTGTGTATATATGAAGACGAAAATTAATCCAACATGTGATAAAACATAGTTAACTAGGTTAATTATTAATAATTTAAGGAAGAGAATGATTTCTATCCAGAATTAAATCTCAGTATTTCAAATTGGGGTGGAAGCAATTTTACAGTGGGTAAGGTGCTTGCCTTGTGTGTGGCCTAACTGCGTGTCACTGCCTTTCCCAAATTTTTTCTAACTGGTGATTTTCTACATATTCTGCACTAAATGCACCAGTTAGAACAACTACAAAAATGAATAACTAGCAGCAAATATTTTATTAGATTAAACATCAAATTTAAAGGGAGAGAGAAAAGACCCAAAAAGCTGATGACAATATCTTTTCTTTCCTTCAAAACTTAATTTCGTACTATCTCCATGTTGGGTGAAATTGGTGATTTTAAACAAAAAGCAATGCTTGATGAAGATATAAAGTGATGATTATCTTTGTGGTATCTAATATTTATACACGGTTATAACAGATTCTCTCTCTTTCTCTCTCTTTTTCCTCTTTTCTCTCCTCTCCTCTCTCTCCAGGAATTGATCCAGAGTTGGTTCTATGCCAGGCAGAATCTAAAAATAATTTCTATACACTGAATTTTAGCAATATCTGGCTATATATATCTAAAGTATACCAGGGAACAACCTGGTTTATGGATGCAGAAGTGTACTATTTCATGCTAACCTCACAGCTATCTTAGCAGTTATAATCTCAATCTACAAAGGAGCATACTAACTCAGAGGGGAAGTACTTTGTCTAAGTTATTTGTTGGAATTCAATTCTGACTCATAATGATAAGCTGATTTAGTCCTTCTTAAAGACCACAGAAATAATGATTTCTAGAAATACCTTCCAGATTCCAATTGCAAAAAGTTGTAATGCCAGTGCCAAATACTTCTGACAGCAAAAAACTGATTAGCTAACAAGTTTCTAGTCGACTGCTACTGCTGACTTCTTTGACTAAGCGTAGTATCAAATCAACAATTTCGTTAATAAAATCAACTCAATTTATTTTAATAATTAAACTAGTCTCACCAATAAACTGGGGCTGGAGTGATAACCCAGCGGGTAGGGCATTTTCCTTGCACGCGGCCAACCCGGCCAACCCGGGTTCGATTCCTCCGCCTCTCTTGGAAAGGCTGGCAAGCTACCAAGAGCATTTCGCCCACATGGCAAAGCCTGGCAAGCTACCCATGACGTATTCGATATGCCAAACACAATAACAAGTCTCACAATGGAGACGTTACTGGGCCGGCTGGAGCAAATTGATGAACAATGGGAGGACAGTGCTCAGTGCTCTATCACCAATAAACTAGTCTGACTTTAGATAGTCCTCTGCAATGTGCTGTGGTTTCCCATAGCACTCAATGTCAAGCAATTCAAGCAATACCATTTAGCATGTTATTTGAGAGTAGAGAGATAGTGCCTTATGAAGGCACATGACTTGCATTAAGTTGGCCTTGGTTAGACCACGGGTACCACATGGTGCCCTGAGTGTTCACTGGTGGAGCCCTGAAGGCCCCATAGCACTGCGGGATGTTCAGGTAATCCCAGGCACTGCAGAAACCTTCAATAGATCCTTGCATTCAACCATGGCCCCAATGACTGAATCACAAGGAGAGTAATCTAGACTTCCTGAGCACCACTTTGGTGGCCCCTAGAGGAATCCTTATTCTAAACAGTCCTAGAAACTAGCCCTTCCATTTATAAATAAGGTCGTTTATTCATTTATATTGACCTTCAAAATATTAAGAAACCAGTACCATAGCAGTTGGAAAGATGGTGCAACTGGAGTTAAGGATTCTGCCTTGCATAGAGCCAACCCTGGACCCTGGATCAATTCCTGGAGCGAGAGGAGAAGGGGGAGGGGTGGAGAGAGAGAGGGAGGGAGAGAGAGAGAGAGAGAGAGAGAGAGAGAGAGAGAGAGAGAGAGAGAGAGAGAGGAGGAGAATGGACCAGCAGCACCACAGCAGGCCATAGTGGTAGTAGCCTGAATCTACTTCTACCCTAGCTCAGAAGCTGCTCCTGGAATTACCTGAGGAAAAATCGATCAAACCAGGGTCTCCTGCATGCAAAGTATGTGCTTTAGCCCTTTGAACGGTCTCTCTGGCCCCTGGTACCAAGTCCTTCATGTATGAAGACAATTTTCCAAAATGTCACTTATGAATAAAACTATTTTTTTAAAATATGGTTTTTCTGATCCTACTGTGAGACTTTACAAAGACTAAGGACAAAACCTAGAGGACTGGGTAAGGTCATTCTGTAAGGAAATGGATACTTCTGTAGAAACTCCAAGTTTATCAATTAAGACTATTTGCATTTCATGATGATTTGATAATTATAAAAATCACAGATAAAGGGCATTTACTGATTAACTAGTCAGTGACAAGATCTGGGCTAAAGCACTTTTTAAATAGTTTTATCATATAGCATAATCCTTTTACTGATAGCTATCTGAACTTGTTTATTATCACTCAAGAAGAAAGTTAGAGACAAATGGGAGTCAATTTCAGGTATGCACACTGGGTTCTGTTCTTCATCTCCTTAGTGCATCACCTTCTTTAAAAAGCACACAAGTAAAATATACACATATATGTTTGCACTCAGAATTCTAAGGGAAAATATATATACTGAAATACAGTTCATGCTGTGTACTATGAAAGTATAAAGTTCCTATTTTAAAAATCTAAAGCAATTTGAATTTTTCTATTTTTTTTAAACTTTCAAATATCCATATTTGGAAATAAGGGTGTATAGCTCAGTGGCAGAACATTTGACTGCATATTTGGAAATAAGCTAGAAGATACTAAATAATTAAAATAAAACATTTTTCTTTAAGGGGAATAGAAGGAATCCTACATCTCTTATCTGCACTGGGACATTCCTGAGGCCTTAGCAACAGGAATAGTGTGTGGAATGCTGTGGCAACAACAAAAATGATTTTTTGTGAGTCAGTATGTATGTTTCCGAATATTTTTGATGAGTAAGTTCATCAGTTCTCCTACAAATTGATACATGGAACATGCCCAAACGCAAGAGGAAAAGTTTGATTTACTACAGAAAATACTGAGTTGATAGAAACAAGTTCCAAGGGTGTTTTTATAAAGTCTACAAAATCTTCAGATATATAACTTAAATCATTCTGTTTGAAAAGAACATTTTAAAATTATGTTTGACCTCATATACTAACCTGAAACAATGAATTTTTTAATGTAAAAAATTTTAGGCCTTTATTCTTTCTCAGAATTCAGATCACTCTGATCCCCAGTTTATGAGTGGCCCAGCACCCATATCTAGGCCATACTGTACTTGAGAGACCCTCAGGCAAGGATACTAAGGAAGGGCTGAATTACATACACAGACACAAGGGCATGGTGTGTAAAACCTCCACAGTATCAGGTGAAATGAAAGCTCTCTGCCCCAAACCAGACCCCTGACTAGGAGAAAACACATTACTTACTTGGGGGCTGTTAACCCCCTTTTAAGAACCGTGATTGTTACCAACAAAACTGCTGTTATTTCATAGTGCTCTAGATACCTTCCTCTTCCACGTACTCAAATCTTACATGCCCGTGGTTCCATATTTTTATATCCAGCCTAGATGATTCCTTGGCTCTACCTAGACTCACATATCCAACTGCCTTCTAGACACAGCCATTTTGGTATCCTGCATACATTTCACATGAAAAAAGCACATTCAAGAGAATTTCACCAATCTTTGGCCGGAGTGACAGCACGGAGAGTAGGGAGTCTGTCTGCATGCAGCCAACCGGGGTTCAATCCCTGGCATCTCAAGTGGTCTCTCAAGCACCATCAGGAGTGATTCCTACATGCAGAGCCAGGAGCAACCCCTGGGCATCTACAGGTGTGGACATCGCCACCAAAAAAATAAAACACAAATTAAAAAGAGAATTTTTCATTCTGCCTGTTCATCCCTTTATTTGCTCAAACTAAAAATTCAGGTGTAATTTCTAATTCTTTTCCTCATCACACTAACACAAACAACTCACAATAACAGGTCTGATAAGTTCTACTCTAAAGCATCATACCTGTTCCTCTCCACCAATACTTCT